GAACCAGGCCCCCTGAATGTGGGTGTCAGTTGAGGGGCCTGGGTATCCCTGGTGCATGAATGGGCTTTGGGATACTCTCTCAGCTTAGATACAGAGGAGGGCCTAGGCCCTGCCCCAAATGATGTGACAGACTTTGATGATCCCCCACGGGAGGCCTCCCCCTCCTTGAGGAGTGGATGAGGGTAGGATGGGGGTTAGTGGGGGGAATGGGAGGACAGGAGGGAGAGGGAACTGGGATTGGTATGTAAAATAAGTTTGTAATTTAAATAAAAATTAATTAATTAAAAATAAACAGCTGGGCTGGAGCGATGGCTCAGTGGTTAAGAGCACTGACTGCTCTTCCAGAGGTCCTGAGTTCAATTCCCAGCAACCACATGGTGGCTCACAACCATCCGTTATAAGATCTGGTGCCCTCTTCTGGTGTGCAGATGTACATGGAAGCAGAATGTTGTATACATAATAAATAAAGTCTTTAAAAAAAAAACAAAAAGCTTCTGTTAGTGTTTCGTCTAATCATGGATTGTGACAAATATTTTTTTTCTCAAAAGCTTTTAGTAGGAACTAGGGAGATTCCTACTAGGGAGATAATTCAGTCAGTACAGTGCTTGACACAAACTAGCAGCACCCGGAAAGAGGGGACCTTTTTTTTTGTTCTTTTTTTGGTTTTTCAAGACAGGGTTTCTCTGTGTAACAGCCCTGGCTGTCCTGAAACTACCTCTGTAGACCAAGCTTGTCTTGAACTCACAGAGATCTGCCTGCTTCTGCCTCCTGAGTGCTGGGATTAAAGGGGTACACCACTACTGCCTGGCCAGAAGAGGGAACTTTAAGCAAGGATTTGCGTCCATTAGACTGGCCTGTAGGACTGTCTATGGAACATATATTTTTAGATTTACTTTATGTATAAGTGTTTTGCCTGCATGTATGTATGTATACCACATGCATGCTTGGGGCTTCCAGAGATCAGGGGAAAGCACTGGACTCCTATAATTGGAGTTATAGGTGAGCTATCATGTGGGTGCTGGGAACTGAACCCAGGTCTTCTAAAGAGCAACAATGTGCTCTCAACCATTGATCCATCTCTCCAAGCCCCACATCTTCTTGATTAATGATTGGTGTGAGAGGGTCCAGCCTACTGTGGGCAGTGCCATCCATGGGCAACTGGTCCTGGGTAATATAAGAAAGCAGGCTGAGCAAGCCATTGAGAACAAGCCAGTAAGGACCATTCCTCTATGGACTCTGCCTCAGTTTTTGACTCGACTTCCTTCCATAACTTCCCTCAATGATGGACTGTGATCAGAAAGTGTTAAGTCAAATAAAGTCTTTCCTCTCCAAGTTGATTTGGTCATACTGTTTATCATAGCAATAGAAAACCAACTAGAACACTATACATGCATGAGGACCTGAGTTTGATCCCCCAGTACCCAAAGGAAAAGCTACATTAGTATTTTTCCAAATGTTAGTGAAATCTCCTAGCACTACATCACAGGGAAAGGCAATGTAATGTATGGAAGCTGCCACTTCCATCCCCTGGCTAAGCAGGCAGGGCACTCATACTGTTGATGCCCCAGTGAGAAGGAATTCCTTCCCCTGGGGCTGGTTAAGTGATCCAAAGCCTTTTCCTATATTTCTAGGGGTAAAGGCACAAACAGTTAATGTCCTAGATTAAGATCTCATATCAGTGAAACTGGGGCAATGGTAAATGCAAAATATTAATAGCTTGTTGGAGTAGAGCAGGGACTAGTAGGCTACACTCTCCTGAGTTGGCTGTTAGAGAAATCAGGGCTGCCCAGTCTTGCTTATCAGTGAGGGCAGGCATGCTGTGTCTCCTATTCAGTGCCTGTCTTTGAGGCTCCAATTGTAGTCTATTTGCTAGTCTCCTCTCCTTGTTGGATATACTGGTATAAAAGATAATTGTAGGGAGCTAGCTTCTAAGTTATGTAGATTTGACTACAAGAACAAATGTTTCTTAGACTGAGTAAATACTTTCATACCAGGACTCCACAGTGTGGGGTAAGGTCATTCAGTTTACCGGTACAAGAGGGAGTTATGCCCAATAATTGATTAATACATGCTGGGTTTTTTTGGAATGAATCCCACTGTTGAAAAGGGAGAACTAAGGCTTAACAAGGGTCTTACAGAAATGACAGTGTCTATTCAAAAGGCAGGTATTCCCAAAGTTCTACAAACTGGGTTTCCTCCAATAGAATGTGTGATGATCCAGGCAGGTCAGCCTCATGATTTTGTCAACTGAGATCTCACTGTCTGTATAAACCTGTGGCCTGTAGGAAGCACTGCTGCATGCATTGTCTCACAGTTGGGGAAGAAGAAACAGGTAGACCTCTGGGGTTTAGTGTAGCCTAACTGGTGAGCCCTAGACCACTAAGAGAACCCACCTTAAAGTAAGCAAGCAAGCACGCAATACCCCTCAACTCAAGTTGCATGGTTACTATGGAAAAGACACCCAGAATTTTCCTTTGTATTCCACATCCTTTTGTACACACATCTATTTGTTCACTGACAAACATGTACACACATCAAACACCCTATTCCCCTGATAAAAAGTCTGTAATATGGATGGCTGAGGGTATATATTTCAGTGGTAGAATGTGTGCTTAGCATATATAATGTCCTGGGCTCAATTCCTAGCCCCAATAACAAAAGTAAACAACTATGTAGTTGTTTACTTTTGTTATGTAGTTGTTTACTTTGTCTGTTGGTTTCTGTCAGCTTAGTGGCAGAACCTGAATCTACGCATATTTTAACTATCCTCTGTGCCCCAGGACCCCCTGCTGCTCAGACTGCAGCCTGGTGGGATTTCAGGTTTGCTGGCACTGGCTTAACCTCAGCCACCAAATGTAGGTTTTAACTAAGTCTCTTTCGTTCTATTTATCAATAAAAACTTGGGAGTCAGATGTTGCATTGAAAACCTGCCATATCAGAGAAGCCAAAAAAGCAACCAGCTGATCTTTCTTTTTGGCTGGAGACAGCAAGAGAAGTGTCTCTTTAATGTCTCAAACAAACAAACAAAAAAACCTACAAGCCGGGGTTTGTGCACGCCTTTAGTCTCAGCACTGGGGAGGCAGAGGCAGGGGGATCCCTGTGAGTTCAAGACCAGCCTGGTCTACAAGAGCTAGTTCCAGGACAGCCTCCAAAGCCACAGAGAAACCCTGTCTCGAAATGCCCCCCCAAAAAAACACCATCACCACCAACCCCCCCCACAAATCTCTAAGTCCCTCCCTACTCTTTCCTGTGCATCTCTCTATCTATATTCCAGGCTCCTCCACCTCTCTATGGTTAATTCCTGTCAACTAGTCAGTGATTCCACCCCCTGATCCAAGGTTAATTTTATTTATACAGTCTTGGAGTTTCACAGTGTGATCAAATATTTCGCAACGGAAGTCACACGTACCTTTGCTGTATCTGAAACGGAATTCCAGTAACCACCACTGAGTGAGAATTTCCCGCTACCTATCCGTGCCAATATTTCTTCTGGAGTATCATCAGGACCATTTGCAAATGGAGTGTAACTAGATTATAATAAAGTTAAAATGTCAATAAATAAAATTTCTCTTGAAGTTAGTAATGTTTATATTTACTTGTAGTTTCTAAACATATTCTGAGTAGTTCAGTTAATGTAATACTTTATTGGAGTTTATCAAAGTAAATAAAGACAGTAAAATGAAGCTTCATAGGCCAAACAATAGGTTATATTAATTAGACTTTGTGGTAGTTTGAATGAAAATGGCTTGACACCTCATAGGGGCTGGCACTATTGGGAGGTGTGGTGTTGTTGGAGTAGGTGTGGCCTTATTGGAGAAGGTGTGCCACTGGGGGCAGGCTTTGAGGTCTCACAAGCTCAAGCCAGGACTAGTGTGTCTCATTCTCTTCCTACTGTCTATGAATCAAGATGTAGAATTCTCAGCTACCTTCTCCAGCACCATGTCTGCCTGTATGTCACTGTGTTTGCCTCTATGGTTGTTATGATAGTGTGGTGAACCTTGGCAGATTCCATGGCAGGCCAGGATAACCTAGGCGGAGGGACAAACATGCCAGGCAGACAGAGCTTAGTGAGAAGTTTTATTAGAAAGGAAGGGGGGTAGAAGGAAACAGAAAAGACATAAAGGGGCACAGAGACAGAGAGGACAGAAGAGAAGAGGGAGACAGGAAAAGTCCTGTCTGCCCCAGGGGAACAGCAGGAAAGAGGGAAAAGTGAGGAGTGGGAAAGAGGAGAAGGAAAGACAGTAAGTGGGCAGAGGTCTTTCTTTTAAAGGGGTCCTTTGTACCTGGGCTGACCAGGGTACTGCCTGAGTGCATTCTGCCAGGTGACAGGGGCAGGTCAGCATAATGCTTGAATCCTTACAATGATGATAATGGACTAAACCTCTGAACTGTAAGCCAGCACCTGTTAAATGTTTTCCAATGTAAGAGTTATCATGGTCACGCTGTCTTTTCACAGCAATAAAACCCTAACTAAGACTTAATATACAATGTATGCATTTTAAATTATGACAGTCTAGAATAATATACTAAAACAGCATATGGTTATTACATAATCAGAATAAAAGTATGGAAATTAATTTAATTAATGATCTTAAACACAGCTATAGCCAGGTGGTGGTACCCACTTAATCCCAGCACTGCAGAGGCAGAAGCAAGCAGATCTCTGTGAGTCTGAGGCCAGCCAGGACAACACAGTGAGTCCCTATCTCAAAATCAAAACAAAACAAAAGAGGAAAGCTAATTTAATAAAGGATACAGCTTTAAATATAATTATAGAACTATATATATTAGTATGAGAAACATAGAAAGATATTTCAATATAGGGATTTAAAAATCCTACATCATTTAAATATAGATGAATAAATGCTTATGGTATTCGCTTACCCAGTAAGCATTGTATAAAGGAGGACACCAAGACTCCATATATCACAGGCAGCATCATAACCTTGTCGTTTCAAAACCTAGAAAAAGTAAAAGATGACAATTACCACACTAATCTTTTTTTAATGGGTAATGTGCCTACATCGTAACAAGGTTTAATGGGCGGCACACATCACGCAGTGGAGTAAATTCCCAATCATCACACTTATGAACCAAAAAAAGATCCACTACTATCTTTTTAAAAATATTATTTATATTTTGTGTATATGCCAGCTTGTATGTATGGTTTAGTAGTCTGCAAGTTCAGCTCCCAGGCCACTACCAAGGGTAACTCAGAGAAGGCTTCTCCAGAGCAAGGATTGAAAGATTTCTATAACTTCACACACAATCTGTTCAGGTCAAGCTCTTTATTATTCTGCCTCTAGTTTCAAATCTCTGCAGTTTATATGCACATACAACAGCAATTCTTTGGCAATAGAAAGGTTACAAGGCTATTTTTCAGGGTCACAAAGCATTCCCTTTGGATAAATAGGAGACACACACAGCAATAACTTGCCAGCTTCTCTCTCTCATTTTTGTTTTTTTTTCGAGACAGGGTTTCTCTGTGGCTTTGGAGGCTGTCCTGGAACGCGCTCTTGTAGACCAGGGTGGTCTCCCACTCACAGAGATCTGCTTGCCTCTGCCTCCCGAGTGCTGGGATTAAAGGCGTGCGCCACCAACGCCGAGTTCTATTCTACATTTCTTTCTTTTTTTAAAATTACTTATTTATGTCTATAGTGGTCTGCCTGCATGTACACCTGCAGGCCAGAAGAGGGCACCAGATCTGATAACGGATGGCTGTGAGCCACCATGTGGTTGCTGGGAATTGAACTCAGGACCTCCGGAAAAGCAATCAGTACTCTTAACCTCCGAGGCATCTCTCCAGCCCTATTCTACATTTCTTAAGTGTAACTAAATTTATAAGCTAAAAGTTTGTGACCAGTAAAATGTGAAAATACAAAATGCCCTTGTCTCCCAGTGCAGAGAATGTAGCTGTGCTTCAGAAGCCATATTAGTGAGTAACCATGGCAACCTGAGTAAGGGAAGGAGGAAACGTATGGTGCTGATTCGCATAGGCATATTTGCCAAATGTTAACTGGCAATAAAAATCCTTTCAAATCTGAAAATATATCTTATGCCCTATGTGACTAGAACAAAGAGGGGTCCTGTAACTATTTTGTACAAGGTTGGAACCTGACACCTCTCAGCCGCTCTGGCCATCTGTGTGCTCACTTCTCATTTGAGAAAGCTATCTCCCTCTGGAGATGGTTAACTGGTTAACAACCTCTTTCTGTAATTACACAAATATCAGGGCTTAAACAAAGAGTTAGTCTCCTAAGCTTAAAATCTTGTATCAATAAACTTTGTAAAAGTGTATAGAAAGTGTTAATAGCCCTTGGGGTCAAAGCAGGGACATGCTGCAGTTTCTATAAAGGCAGGAGGGTTGAGTTCAGGACTACTCTGTTCTTTTAATCTCTGAGGGGCTTTTATTTAACAAATCCAGATGCACTGAAATTCTGTCCTTGAGTATTATCTGTGAAAGTTCCACTAGGTCTACCTACAGAGACACCTCGTCTGACCAAATTGTCCTGTCAGTGAGATAATTATAGCGAACAGTCTTCTAAGTTTCTTTTCCACCAGAATCACACAGTGTAGGGAGAAGTCATCCATTTATCAGTACACAGGAATAATTGTGCCCAACAAATGAGGAATAGACTGCTAAGGTTGTAGGACAAGTCCCAAAGTTGTATTAGAGGGGACTATGTTACAACACAAGAGAATTGCAGTTAGAGGCAGCCAGCTATTCAAAAAACAATATTCCTCACAGGCCACGCCTCTTGAATTTTGTCCTTCAACAGATATGCGCATCTGGTGGGTTGGTCTTCTCAATATCAGCTGTAATCTATTGTGTAATCTTGTGGACTCCATCATTATGTGCACCACAAAGGCCAGGAGATGGGGCTGATCTCATGGAACTGGAGTTACATGATTGTTAGCTGCTGATCCTTTGCAAGAACAGCAAGTACTCTTAAATGGAGTCATCTTTCCAACTTCTTCACACCGTTTTTCACATATATTTGGATATTAAATGGAACTTTATTTTCCAAATCAATACACATAAGAATTTTAACAAAACATGATTAACACAGCCTGGTGTTGGTGGCACACGCCTTTAATCCAAGCACTCGGGAGGCAGAGGCAGGCGGATCTCTGTGAGTTCAAGGCCACCCTGGTCTACAGAGAGAGTTCCAGGACAACCTCCAAAGCAGTACAGAGAAATCCTGTCTCGAAAAACCAAAAAAAGAGAAATGATTAACAAATAATACCATATAGTAATCAAATAGAGCATTCTGCTTATATACATTTATGTATATTATATTAAATTCATAATACATTCATAAATGCATATATAAATCTATAATGTGTAACTGTATATAAATCATAAATATATAATTCATAAATGTATATATGAATTTAACATTGGTATTGAACATTTATTATATACTGCTGTGGGTACAGAAGGATACAGGACAAATCAAAGGTAATTTTTGTTTACATATTTCTTCCTTTTTTTAAAATTCGGAGCTGAGGATTGAACCCAGGGCCTTGTGCTTGCTAGGTAAGCACCCTACCATTGAGCTAAATCCCCAACCCCTACACATTTCTTCTTGAGACATAATCTCACTATATAGTTCTGCCTGGCCTGGAATTCACTATGTAGACCAGGCTGGCCTAGAACTCAGAGAGATCCACCTGTCTCTGCCTTAGTGCTGCAATTAAAAGTGTCTGTGTTATCACACCTGACAAATTCTTAATGAATTTCTATTTTGAATGGGGCTATAGAAATTACTATAAATAATACTTTTTGAGACAGAGTTTCACTTGATAGCCCAGGCTAGCCTCAAACTTCCTTTGTCGTCAGGGCAGGTTGTGTACTCTTGATTCTATACTGAGCTTCCCTAGTACTAGGATTACAGGCATGCCTCTCATACCTGGCAAATAATACTTTTAAGAACACATGTAGCCTCATACAAATGATAAAGTGCTAAATCCACTAACTTGCATATTATTTGATTCACTCAAACATTTAATAATCATCACTGATTATTATCAGGCATGAATTATGACAAATTTTGAAAAAGATCAATTTCTTTAAAAAAAATAGAATCTAGCAGAGGAAATCAAGATATAGTTAACAATTCAACGTAAGTATTATAACAAATGTTAATAAAGACTCTGATATTGAGATAAATACATGATTTATCCATTTTTGGGGAGCTGGGGATCAAATCTAGGGCTTCTTATAGTTAGAAAAGCACTCCATTCCTGAGGATAATTTGAGCTCCAATTAATTCTTTTTTTTTTTTTGGTTTTTCGAGACTGGGTTTCTTTGTGTAGCTTTGGAGCCTATCCTGGCACTCTCTCTGGAGATCAGGCTGGCCTCGAACTCACAGAGATCCGCCTGCCTCTGCCTCTCGAGTGCTGGGATTAAAGGTGTGAGCCACCAACGCCTGGCACTCCAATTAATTCTTGATATGGGGAGAGAGTTAGCTAGTTTATATTGGACCTACAAATAAGATGTCTGTAGGCAAAAGAGAGGAGGCAGAGGGCAATCAAAAGTAGAAGCAAAAGGCAAAGCTGTGTGTGGTGGCTCACATCTGTAATCTCAGAACTTGGGAGGGGAGGCTGAGGTGGGTCATTGCAAGTTCAAGGCCAATCTGGGTTCAGAACTGAGACCCTGTCTCAGAACAAAACGAGAGGACAGAACAGTGTTAATGATAGGCAAAATGGTACAAAGTGGCTAGAACTTCAGGAAGAGGATACTAGGAAAACTGAAGAGCTTTTGTAATGCCTTACTAAGGAATTTAGATTTTTCTCCTGTAGGCAATCTGATGTCATTGAAGCATTAGACAAGGAAATAAAGGACTGGCATTTTATTTCAATTAGTTCAGTGATTCTTCAATTAAACAATAATTAATTATTCAGTATTAAAGATAGAAAATGAGTTCTTAAATATACCCAAACACAGCAAGCACACTTTCTCACAATTACCTCTGGTGCAACAAAATTTGCAGTATAACAAGGAGTCATGAGAAGACCATTTTCTGCTCTCAGCTGTTTTGCAAAGCCAAAATCACAAATTCGAATAGATTCTGGATTACCAGATTCATCCACATAAAGAATGTTGCTAGGTTTCAAGTCTCTGTGAACCACCTATTTGAAATACAAATCAGAGATTTATGTTAACACAATACATTTCCCTAATTAATTTCTTTTTGTTTATTTATTTAAATTCTTTAATTACTACTCATATTTACATATCCACCCCCCATTCCCTTGCCCTCCCATCCTCCCCCAAGGAATTTCTTTATTCCCATACTGCCAAACAATGCACATAGCACATTATAAATGGTGTTAATATAAGCATAGCTGTCTAACTCTGACTGGCCTGGGCATAAGGAGGAGGAAGAAATAATATTAGTTACCTATTCCCTCTTGTTCAATTGGGTTAAGGAGAAATACAAATAGCAACTACAAATCTATCTCCAGATAATCCATTCATTTCATAACAGTTCTCCAGTCTCTACCATGTACCAGTGTATTATATAAAGAGCTGCACACACTGTAAGTAAGACTCATAAGATCCTGGCTTTTTCATGGTAGGCACTTGCAACATAGTGGAAAGGAATATAAGACAGGTTCAGATAAGCCATTTTAAAGAATGGGACAGTTTTGAGAGGAAATAATATCGGACCTAAGACCTAAATTGGACACTTTAAACAAGCCATGAAAACAGTGAGATGAAGCTATTCTAAAGTGAGGGAATAGCATATATCAAGATAGAAAAACACTGTCTCGAAAATCCAAAAATAAAAAAAGATAGGAAAACAATAAAGACACAAACTAGCATGTTAAGAGTAAAAACAAGGGCTGGAGAGATGGCTCAGAGATGGCACTGGCTGCTCTTCCAGAGGTCCTGAGTTCCATTCCCAGCAACCACATGGTGGCTTACAACCATCTGTAATAAGATCTGGCGCCCTCTTCTAGGGTGCAGGCATACATGAAGACAGAATACTGTATACATAATAGCATTTTTTTAAAGATTTTATTTATTTATTTATTTATTTATTTATTTATTTATTATGTCTTCTGCCTCCATGTCAGCAGAGGGCACAAGATCTCA